TAAGCCACCATGGTAGAACCTGTTAACTCTTGTAAGCTCATGAAATAGCTCTAGATGTCTCGACAAGCTGATGTGAAGAAGCAAAAGTGCAACCCCCCCCGGTCGCTAAACTGCCCAACGACTCATATGATGTGACCTCTCGAGTCTTGACCATTAGGCTCCACATGGAACATGTTCCGCCGGCCCAGATGAAAACAATGTCTCCCACGGGAAGTCTAAGCAGTAAAACGGTGAACGGACTGCATAATTTATCCCGGAGACTCCATCTACCTTTCCCACCCAAAGATCTAGTCCCTCATGGACCTAACTGAAAATTTGACCGTCTGGAGGTTCACTAGGACCACCGCACTTTCCTTATTGGACGCCCATCATCGCCATTTCGGATGGGTGGGGCCCTACGAAGGACAAGGGCGCACTCATTCTGACTTTACCCGCACAATTAGTGCTTCATGCACTTTCAGCCCCGCAAAGACTGACCTTAAAAGGCAGCAACTAATTTCCATCACCATACATTGAAAGGAAGAGAAATCCTCCCACAAAAAAAGCCTAAGTGGAGGGATACATAGCGCAAAGTCCAACAACGGGGTCAAATTTTTGTGGTTCGAAACAATCCTCCGAGAGTCAGATACAACTTCTGTTGTGAATTAATACGGCCACCCTTCCCCAAGGACTAAGTTCAACCTTCCTGGTGGGACTCTACCAACAATGCTGTGCCCTGTCCACAGAGAATGCACAATGACAGCCTGTCCCCCCCGCCGCTCATATGGATATGAGGTGTGCCTATGAGGCCTGAAGCCAGTGGGCACGATGGCTGGGGCGGGCGGTTGTCGCCAACGTCATTGGTGGAAGGGCGGAGTGAGGTGTGGCCAAACGCCCTCTCGCAGCCCTTCCACCAATGACGCAACAACCGCCCGCCTCGAGCAATCCTGCCCGCTGCCTTTAAGCAAACCCAGGAGGATCAGAAGAGACACAATGTCAAATAAAATATGAAAAAAAGTAGCAAGCAAGTGAAAAACAGTTAAAAAATAAACAAAAATTTGTTAGCACTCACTTGAATTCTTATACTTTGGCCATTAAGAGTCGGATGCTCTGGGACCTTCGGTTGTCGGACAAGAAGGATGTTCAGATTGATTCATCTGAAATTATTCCACTTGAGCACAGCGTCATCACAGAATTAGGAAAACATAAACAGGAAGAAAGATGAAAAATAAAAATACCAACAAAAATATGAAAATGTTACCTTTTTCAACCGAAAATGCTTCTGAACGACAATGGCAGCGTTGTGTAATTTTTTGAAGTAGCAAAACTGCAAAATTCAATGTGAGACCAATATTTTGGAAAAACAATAAATAAATAGCACATGTGAAACGGGAAAATTTTTCAGATTTGCCCACTTCCCACTTTTCCCGGAATTTCCTGGGAACTTTCCTACTTTTCCTCAGATTCCAGAATTGTCCTGGAGATTTCCTACCTTCCCCCAGAAAGCTGTCGAATGGGGGGGAGGGAGGATTTTTTCCCCTACGCGGCAAATTTCTCTCAAAGGCACATACGATACCTCTCTCTCTCAACAACGGCCACTGCGACCCCGTCCCCCTCCCCCCTGTGTTTCCCACAACTATGCTGTACCCTGACAGCAAATTTAAGCAGTTGTTTTCCGAATTCAAGAATCGGTGCTAGTAACCTTGGAAAGGGGGGGGGGCAGACCTCTGAGCTTTTTTCATGTGTCTTCCTTGCCTTTGTTTTTCTTTTGTATTTTCGCGTCTCACCTGCGAGTCCTGTAAATTTCTGTCAAGTATCCTGTCAAGTCCTGTAAAGCTTGGTAAGAACTAGCTAGCCCCATTGGAGCGCCATTTCTCCATTTCTACCAAATCTTGGCCGGTCATTTTGATGAATTTGACAGAAGTTTACATGGAGTCGACAGGTAGTTACAAGGCTTACAGGGTTCTGACAAGGTTATCCGGTATTCACTTGCATACAATCAACAGGATTTGGCAGTTTGACAAGCGCTTACAGGTGTACCCCCTCAAAGTTATTGGCGCCTAATCTGCCAGATTCTTCCGAAACATAAAAAAAGTCAAAAAATATATAAAAAAGCTCTAGTACCTGTTTATATCTCCTATAACAACTCTGAATAGTGACTGCGGCTCGCCGTTCAGCATCCGCTTGTCGACGACTGGTGTTTCGAGCTCGATATTCCCGATAAGCTCGCTGGATTACCATTGCCGCTCCATAAACCTCTCTTTGCTCACCTTCTGCAACAAGGAAATATTTAGGTATAAAAAATATAAAATAAAAGTAGGTATTAAAATAAAAACTGAATGGTAATAAGACAGGTAAACTATCTGGAATGGTAACCATAGGCAGTACGATAATGCCTCCAACCTTTTCTGCATTTTGTTCTAATTGGCTGCCCTTTTAACCCTTCAGGATGTCGGGAGTGAGACGTCGGCAGTGTTGGCAGGCTTCTAGAAGGACCACGTCTGTCGCGGGAGAAAGATCGTTGCCTTCTAATCCTTTCTCTGCTCAAACGCTATCCTATCCTGATCCTACATACCATCTTTCTGAATTCTCTCGACCTCTACCGCATTACTAGTCCAGCCTTCCCAAAAAAAACTGTCGTCGAGCGGGCAGGGGGGGGGGTGGAGGAGTATTGTATAGCAATCCAGGATGTTCGAGCCACGCTGGAGAGTGTGTTTATATTGAGCTCGAGTGTTGCGAGATGCAGTACACGTTCAGTTTATATGACCTTCAATTCCCACAAACTTCCAACCTTATTTTCCCTTTTTTTGCCTGGAAAGCGGAAATCGTTTGTTTTTAATCGTTCTAACATCATGTGCTTGTACTGAGTACTTTCTACGGTTGCAAAGATTTACAGGAGCCCACATATGCAAGCAAAAAAAAAACAAGCAGAAAAAATAAATAAATAAATCTGATAGAAAAACTCAGAAAGCACCGCCCATTCTACTTGTGAAGCTCCGAAGTGGAGCCTGCCAGTACAGTGGCTGGGGGGCGGAGAGCAGTTACAGGGTCTCTGGCGGAAAGGTGCTGACACACTGGGGACGGACTAGGACCTCCTACAATCATTTCATCGAAATGCTGTGTGGGAACGGGACTAAGAGCCTCCCACTAACATCGCCGCAAGTATCCACCGAGCAAACCTCGACCATTTGCCCCCCCACTGAGGCTAAAATTGAGTCCATTCGACTTTTTTTGTTGAAGCCAAAACACGGCACGACGGTCAGACTTTTTGTGCAGCCTCATACAATCGCAAGGACCATTCAAAATACCAGATCGACCCCGACCGATACGCTACCAGTTACGATTCGAGATAATTCAAGGCCTCTGTCCCACGACCATCGAATAGGCGGAGACAGTCAATCAAGATGCCGCCTTTTCCCTGTACCTGCGTTTTTGCAAGGAGTAGTGGAGGCCACAATGACAGGTCTTGGTTCTCCCGTACAAAAAACATGGATTGACTCTTTAACGCAATCTCTAGCACGATTTTTTTTCTATTTCAGAACCCTGTGTGCAGTACTTCACAAGAAAATCTATATAATAACCACGACATCGCATTTCCACGACGATTTCTCAGTTTGACGTGAATGTCTCGGTGAAAAAAAGCCGAAAAGAACAGGGCAAAGAGATGCCCTGACTGGGAAGGTTGAAAAAACTTTCGTTTCAAGCCTCGGAGTCGACAAAACGATCTCGATGCCTCTTGAGCATTCAAGAGTCCCCGCAGAGCTATTCTTTATGGACCTTCTTACAAGAGCTCAATGTTCCCATTAGTGACGCTCTTGAATAGTGTCTCCCGCTCTGAACAGAAAACCAAGCGTCCACTGAAACGACCCATTCATTTCCATAAATCAGTTAGGGGACAGAAATAGCCACTGGGACAAACAAGTCATGCTCTAGCGTCATGTGATGTCATCAAATGGTTGCTTTGACTCAAGGGATTTCCTGAAAAAGTCCAATCGATTTTCCTTTGTTGCTGCTTTTCCTAGCGCAGTGGCTATTTCCGTACCCGCATAATCCGGACCATTACTGATGTCTAAAAATTTCAACCTCGAAAATGGCACAGCGCGCTTGAAAGTGCAGGTTTTATATTGATATTTACACGGCAAAGAAGCTGACGGCATAGCCCAAAGAGCCTTGCATACGAATGTTTCTATCATCTCTCCTAACAAAAAACCATAAAAAGACGTCAGCAGCATCCGGGAATGATTGATTAGCATTCCACAACACATAAAACTCGGATAAAATACGCGATTCCAGCCAAGAACAAGGGTCGACAAACGTTATCGATCGATACTGATCAAGTGCTTTTAGTAGTTCCTTCATATTAATTTCGAATTCAACATCTTTTTTTGCACAATTTACTCTTTGCAGCTGCACTCTTCGAAACCTTGGTTGCTTCTATTCCGCGGAGCACTGCATGTCGTACTTGGGCCGTCTTCGGACGAAGGCGTCATATTGGCCACTAGATAGGGCCCTGTTCCTGACAACCTTAGAAGAAAATCTTTTTGGCTGCTAATTTTTCTCAGCTTTTCTGGTTTGAACGCAGTGTGCGACCTCTCCCTCCTTCCGCCACGACCGCATTTTTTTGGGGAAAATAATGAGTGGTGGATGTCGTAAAACAACAGAAAGCGTAGAATTCCGGGAAAACTTGGTAATTTTCGAGACGGGACGTGTACCGGCAATGTTCGACGTTTTCGCTACGAGGGACCAGAGGTAGTTTTCCATCCCAACTACTGGTGCAGCAGTCGAATGGAGAAGGAAAAGGAGGAGGGAAGAGAGAAGGAGAGAAGGAAAAAAGGGAGGAATAAAAAAAAGGAGGAGGTAGGCTCCGCGGTTGACAAGTATCCTGAGACGACTTCCCAACGGCGGAAGGAGCCCTGCTCGGGAGACAGCACGACCTACTCAAGACGGACATAGCATCACCTTGCAACGGGTAAGCTGGGAGTTGATGGAGCTCAGCACCAAATCACTTCAAACATCCTAGCGATAGCCTACCCCTCAAAACGACTCATTATAGTTGACGTTTGAGTACGCCTGTGCCTCAGACGCTGGGCGCCGCTTCTCGCGCTCTCGCGCGGGCCTGTCGCGGGCGCGGGGCCGCGGCCGGGCCGCTGCCGCGCTTGGCCGCCCGCGCCGACTCGGCCTGAGTTCGTATGAAGTCAAGACGAAAACAAGCCATTAGCATCAACTTTAGTAATTTTCTTTTACCATTCCACTTCTTTTTCTGTGAGGTCCCGAAAATTCGTTTTCATCACTCGTGGTGCGGCTGGCATGGTAAGGACCTTCTAAGGACAGATTTAGGCCACATAACCTAGTAGCGACAAAAGTTTAGCCTGAATTTAGAAGTGGAATCGTGAACCAAACAAAGCCCCTGTCTACGATTGCCCAAGGGTCAGTTGGAAGCATGCGTGAGTGAGAAGCTCGCGCACCGCACACCCGTCCACAGCCGGCATGTATCCAACCTGATTGCAACTTAAGAAGAAACAAGAAATCTGTCACTGAAGTTGAACATTATCGCACTACACTCGTTTTTGTGTGGGACATACATCACAGCCTTATGCGACCAGAAAATAGTCCAGGCATTCAGAGGCCCAGGATAAAGTCTCGCTTGACGGACTGGACAGCACCAATTTTCCAGTGTAAGTAGTTCTCCTACCAAAAGCGACTTTGAATGACACGCCTAGCGGTGCACTCTCTTTAGAATCCAGAAGAAACAGCTTGAAGTCGGCTCCACTCTTCGAAACAGAGACCAGGGCACATCCCAAGGTTGAGGGAAAATTTTTGCAAATTACAACGCCTAGTTCCTCTTCTAGTGCCGACCCTACTTTCCTTCCCCCATCTTACCTACAAATCCTAAAGCTTCCCAATTCTGGAAACTTTTTCCAGTAAGTTCTCAGTTTCCTCAAAGCTACCGTCGAAGAGGGGGGGGCGACGCCAGGGACGCCAGACGGCGTAAATCGGGAAAAATCAGCAAGCAGAAGGCTTTTTCTCCAAGGCAAATTCTAGCCCCCCCCCCCTCGCTAGGGATACTCAACATAAGATGCCTCTTGACAGGAACCTTTGAAAGCGCGCCGTACGCTCAGGATAGTGCCGGTTGTAACATGGTTGCGAGCGAGGAGTAGGATCATATTCAGAGTGCAAAATCGTTGGTAGAATCCCATCAAGGGAAGCAGCACTTGGCCGCTGGGGAGAGGATCGTCATGGTTCGATGTGAGTCATATCTCTTCTTGAAAGAAGTAGCTGCGATAATTTTTCCCTGCTGTGCTGACTTTTCCCCATTTTTCCCCCTTCATATCCTGCACTACCCTCCTAGGGATAGATAGGTGAGTTGTCATATATATGGACCGAAGCTAGCTGCAAAAACCCCTCCGCTTCCCCACCCCCAGTTAAACGTCGTTTCCTCTTGGGAGGTGGTGAGACCTGAAAAAAGTTGGAAAAGAGGAAAAGTTTAAGGGGGTGGGAGAACTTTGAGGATGGTGTGTAAGATAGGAAAGGAGGGTCGTATCAGAGGCGAAGCAAGAGGAGATTCGGGGTGGGGGTCATCGCAGCACCGCCATATCACTTACGCTGTCCTATTTTGATTGTGTTGAGAAAAAACTTGCGCTGATAACCTTTGGGAGGACGGGGGGGGGGTGCAAACGAAATACTCTTCGAGCAGAACTAGAATTGTCACAGATCAAGACTTCTGCCCATATGCACAATGAGTCCCTTACATGCCCCTCTCTTTTCCCCAAAGATTATCAGCGTCGAAGAAGTTCTCACATCGTGGCGAGCCGCATTTGCCAAACGGAGAGGAAAAATACTTTAGTGCAGTTCGGCTTGGGAGGGGCATTTCACACTTTCGTTAGCGTCCTTTGCTAGTTCCTGCTACATTATACATTTCGGTCTGGTGAGACCTGTCAACTCTTGTCGAAAGTAAACGAAGCACATGCTTAAGCACAGCTTTACAGGATTTTACAGGTCTCCACAGTAGCATCGGCAGTTATCGATGAGAACCAGCAAAATGCTCCCACCAAGTCGAACTGCGCCAAAACTCTCAACAAAATAAACATTGGGAAAATATGGACTATACAAGCAGAAATAAACAAAAGAAGAGCATTACAAGACGAAAAGAAAGAAAAAGCCCACCTCCACCCGTATACAGTAACCCGTCCTTGTAATCAAGTAATGTATGACGCGTCAGAATATTAGACACGACCATATTG